GGGGGGGGGGGGAGATGGAGAGAGGCGCTCCCTTCTCTCCGAGGCTGCCATGAGGTGGCGGCGGAGGCGGCAGCGGGAGAAGTGAGCCTCCGAGGCGCGGCGGGTGCGGGTGTCGCCCTCCGCCCACCCAGAGGAGGCCGCGGCGCAGCGTCGAGGAGCTGGGCGGGAGCGACGGCCATGATGAAGTGAGCCTCGCTGAGGAACCTGAGGCGCGGGACGCGGCAGCATGGCCAATGACAGCGGCGGCGGCGGCGGCGGCCTCGGCCTCAGCAACGGCGGGGCCGGCCAAGGAGGCTGTGGCGGCGGCGGCGGTTGCGGTAGCGGCGCCCTGAGCGAGCGGGACCGTCAGTACTGCGAGCTGTGCGGGAAGATGGAGAACCTGCTGCGTTGCGGGCGGTGCCGCAGCTCCTTCTACTGTAGCAAAGAGCACCAGCGCCAGGACTGGAAGAAGCACAAGCTCATCTGCCGGGGAAGCGGCGCCGGGAGCGGGGACCCCCAACAACAAGGCCAGGGAAATAGCCGCCCCCAAACCGCCACCGCCGGAGGAGGAGGAGGGGAAGGAGAGGCGTCCCGAGCGGCCAAGAAGGGGTCGGCCAAGGCGGCGGGCAGCACCACCACCACCCCGGAGGGGAGCACGACGGCGGCCACGAACAACCACGTTGCCAAAGCGGCGCCGGAGGAGCAGGAAGGGGAGGACAAGGAGGAGGCGGCGGCTCCGGCGGCGGCTCCAGCGCCAGCGCCAGCGCCATCCCGGGAGGCGGGCCTGCTCTACCGGGACAAGTCCAACTTGACGGGCGAGGCCTCCCTGCGCCCCAACGGGCAGATGAAGTCCCTGGTGCCGCAGCGGCTGGCGCTGGAGTACATCGTGCCCTGCATGAACAAGCACGGCATCTGCGTGGTGGACGAGTTCCTGGGCAAGGAGCTGGGCGGGCAGATCCAGCAGGAGGTCCGCGCTTTGCACCACACGGGCCGCTTCACCGACGGGCAGCTGGTCAGCCAGAAGAGCGACTCCTCCCGGGACATCCGCGGAGACAAGATCACCTGGGTGGAAGGCAAGGAGCCCGGCTGCAAGACCATCGGGAAGCTCATGAACAGTATGGACGATCTCATTCGCCACTGCAACGGCAAGCTGGGCAACTACAAAATCAACGGCAGGACGAAAGTGAGTGGCCCCTCCTCACCCCCTGAGTAGCAATAGTAATAGCATATACATTTCTATACCCCTTATCAGTGTGAACTAGCTCTCCCTAAGCCAGGGGTAGGCAACCTTTCTCCTTTAAGGGCCGAGGGACTTCAGCTCCCAGAAGCCTCAGCCATGTTGGTCAATAGTCCCATGTTGGCCAATAGCTCCTGGGATTCTGGGAGCTGAAGTCCTTTGGCCCTTAAAGGGGAAAGGTTGCCTACCCCTGAATTAATATATATTGTATATACTCATGTATAAGTCTAGAAATGTTAGTCAAAAAATTGACTCCAAAAAACATTATCCACAGGGCAATGTAAGTACTGTACTTTGATTCCTATAAATAAAGAAACATTCCCTGGTGAAAGACAAGAAAATAATCTGCCCTGGAAGCACTGACTTTCCTCTGTTCTCTCATCCATCTAGCCCAGGGGTAGGCAACCTGTCCCTTTAAGGGACGAGGGACTTCAGCTCCCAGAAGCCTCAGCCATGTTGGTCAGTAGTCCCATGTTGGCCAATAGCTCCTGGGATTCTGGGAGCTGAAGTCCTTCGGCCCTTAAAGGGGAAAGGTTGCCGACCCCTGCCCTAAGCGGTTTACAATGTATCAGCCAATCGCCCCAACAAGCTGGGTACTCTGGGTACTCTTTCACTGTCCCCTAAGAGCATCTCTATGCAGGACTGGGGAGTAGGAGTAAAGGAGTAAGAGGTCTTTATAGGAGTAGGAATAACATTAAGAAAAAATACCTTATTCTGGAGTAGGACAGGGGTAACCCCCAAATCACCACTATTCCCCAGCCTTGTCTCTAAGTACAGCACCCACACAGGGCGACCAGACACGGCCTCCTTTTCCAGGATGTGCCCTACATCATTTCCACCATCTGTCCAGGAGGAATTTCAAAATGTCCTCCATTTTCATCCTGACAAAGAAACATGACATTTATGTCTCAGTGTTTTTAGCTTTTACAGTTGGACCTCCACAGATTTGACTGTTATGGATCTGATTATTTGCAGTTTTGATTAATGTGTTTTCTCCTGGAATCTCCAGGTCCTCCAGTGTAACTTGGCCAGAAGTTGACCATAGAGTTGTGCTGGAGAACCTAGAAGTTCCTAGAGAAAACACTTTGTGCATTTGTAGACCCTCCAGCATGATTCTGTGATCAAGTTCAGGCAGATGTTGGTCATAAAGTTGTTCTGGAGGACCTGGAAATTCCTAGAGAGGTGCTTTCTTAGGTTAAAAAAATAGT